AGAGAGAGAGAGAGAGAGAGAGAGAAAATCCTAAGCAGGCTCTGCACTGTCAGTGCAGAACCTGATGCAGGGCTTGAACTCACAAACCATGAGATCATGACCTGAGCTAAAATCAAGAGTCAGACATTTAACCGACTGAGCCACGCGGGCGCCCCAATAACCATTCGGTTTTAAATCAAGCTCTGAGGAGAGAGAAGCTGCCCAACTGAGTTACAGAGCTAAGAGCACAGGCTTTGGTCAGACGGAGGTTCGCACTCTTGTTCAGCAAGTAGCTGTGCTTAACCTCTCTGGCCCTCAGTGTCCTCCTCCATAAAATGGGAAGAATAACCTCATGGAGTCATTGGGAGTAATAAGTGAACTAATGTCTACCAAGCAGTTTTCCCAGTGCCTAGCACATAATAAATCTTCAACTATAAGGCAGTTCTCTATATTCACCAGTGAGGGGGTTGCTTTGACTTACACTAGATTATCTATGTTTTTTTGTTTAATGGAGGAAAGGGATATTTATAGTTATTATTTTGCTCTATGGGAAAAGCCATGTTCCCATCTCATTTTCAAACTTGACATGTTTTGAATCTTACAGGAGTTTTGCTTTTCATCAGTGGCTCAACTGGGCACGGTTTCTAACAAGGCCATTTCTGGGAGAGAAGGGGAGGGAACTCTAGTGCCCAGGGCTTCTCCAGCAGACTTCATGCTGTACAGATGATGCGTTCAGGGTATCTGTTTCCGCACAAAAAGGAATGCCCTCTCCACCAGCAGAAAGAGAGCGGCCTACTAGATTATGTGACAAGCAGTGCCGGGGTAGCAGTGAGAGTTGTGGATTATAGCCCAGTGCTTCTAGGAGCATAAAAAATGGCGGAAGAGTGGAGGGAAGGGGGAAAAGATTGCCTCAGATGGGGAGACTCTGTATCTTAATAGTTCATAGGTAACTTTCACCTTCCCCCACCTGGTTCTCTGTGCATCCTTAGAAACCAACAATAAGGCTGCCAAATCCCCAAAGCTTTTGCGTGTTCAAGCCATTAAACGGAAGTGACCTCGGAGCATCCAATGTATACATTGGAAATGTATAAAGAAAGTTTGGGTTATATGTGGACTGCATACGTATGTTCACCTTTTCCCCTAAATTTCTCATCCTTTTTTTGTGATAGACATGAGAAAGAAAATAGGAAACATACACATCAGATGCGGGGGAAATAAAGTAATAATTCTTCCCAGTGGCTTAGAGCTGCATGTGCATGAGGTGGGGGGCTTGTGTCTTACCTTATTGCCCTCTCCCCCTGCTCTCTACCCCCTATTTCTAGTATAGTGGCAAGCTAACATGGTGAGCTCCTGAGTGTCTGCTCTCAATATCTGCTTGTTGAATCAATGAGCGAGTTTCCCACCTCTGGAGTGTCCAAGAACTGGCAGCCTGACCACTTGGCAAGGATGTGATTGAAGGGAGTCAAGCCACAGTGGGATGGCTGGACTCAACACCTCACAAGTTACACCAGCTTGAAAGTCTGTAGTTCTAGAATCCAACAGCCACAGTCGTATGTGAGAAGCTTCTAGGTAGAAGATGGACAAGCACTTTTAACATTCATAGTAATCATGGGTTTGTTTTTAGGTGTATTGAAAAAATGTAATTAGGACATCAAACCTTCAATTTCACAGATACTCTTAGTAAGGACGAGGCTAAATTATTAAATAAGGAGTTAATTTGTACAAACATGTTGAGTAAATAAAAATTCTGGTGCATGCGGGCCTGGCAAATGTTCCAGCCAGTGGTTCTGCAATGACGGAGGTGTGGGAATCCCTGGAATTTGCTACCAGTTCTGAGGTTTGCAAGAGGACCATGAAAACGGGCATGATTCCTCAGTCTTGGCACTATTCGATTTGCGACTTGATAGTTCTTTGTTGTATTCTGTTCCTCGCAGGTATTTAGCAGTACCCTTGACCTCTACCCATTCAATATGAGTAGCATCCTCTACCTCACCCCCAAGTTGTGACAACCAAAAAGTCTCCATACGTTGTCAGATATCCCCTGTGGGGGCAAAATCACCCAGGGATTGAGAACCACTGCCTTAGATGAAGGAGCCATGAACAGCCAGCTGGCACATAACACTGCCAACAAATGTTTAAATCAGTTTTAACAAAAATGAGCCCTTGCAGAATTACTTGGGCATACTGACTGTGGTCCTGGAGCTTGAAAACAGAGAGAGAGAGAGAGAGAGAGAGAGAGAGAGAGAGAAGGGGGGAGAGACTAGCAGAGATCCTGGAAAAGTGAAGATGCTGGTTTTCCTTTGCGGTCAGATATGTTCATGACTTGGTATACGCCTGTATATTACTGCTTTTACAAAAGACATAAGGTAAATTTCCCCTTTACGAGACCCTACTCCATGAATCTGCACCATGTACAACCATACTGGCAAAAGTAAAAAAAGATACTAGAATTCTAGCCCCTGAAAACCAGGAAAAAAAAGTTCTGTTTGGGCCAATCAACAGGCACCAATATTTCTGGTTGTTAACGCAGCACCCAAGGAAGGGACAGTCTCTGAAAAAACTAAATTATCGGTGTTTTCCAACCACTGCTTAGCTTCCGAAGGACAGAAACCACAGCCATGCTGTGTTTTCTGTGACGCAGAGCACTCCACATCTTGCCTTGTGATGCTGGAGAGGATATGCAGATTCTGCTACCTTTGAATGACCCTTTCCGTCTTGTCTTGCTGGACCTTTGTCAAAAGAAAAAGGTGTCTCTCTTGAGGCTGGTCCAGTGAGCCAAATTTTAAGTAAACAGAAATGGAAGGTGCTAAGCAAACAAACTCCAGCCAAACGGAATATCCAAGGTCTCGGATGGCCCGCTGCCACTTTTGAGTTGTTTTCCAGCATAGAACCTTCTGGTTGGGCTGCAGAGTTTCAGATTGGAAAAATCAGACCTAAGAAAACATAATCAAACTCCCAGACTTCAATTTCCTTGTCTCACAACAAATTTGTACCCAAGAGGTCAACACAGGTATAAGATTTGAGGGAAATATTCGAAACTGCCCTATCTGACATGTTATGTGGGGAGAAACAGGAGGCGTCTTCCCAAAAGTCAGAATCAGCAAGTGGTAGGATGATGACCCAAGCAAGTCTTCCCTTGACTTAACCCACTGCTCTGGGGTCTTTCACTGTAGAAAATTCTGAAGCGAAAGGAACCCACGTTCTTTTCTCCGACAGCATGGCTTAGATCAGCTCTGAATTAATTCATCAACTACTGCCGTGGTGCTCAGTGGATTGTTTGTGTGCAGTAGATGATATGGAAATCATCTGGTCACCCACGGAAATAATTGCTTTTCTTTTTTAGTGCAAAGACACGTGGTCTAAGTCGCTGCTGAAATTTTAGACACATGAGCCCAGGTTTGGGATTTGGCAAGAGAATAGGCCAGATGGGAACTGTTGCCTTACAAATTGAAAGTCCTTTGTTTTAGAGTGAAACAAACCTGGCCTCAGCCTTAATCTACCAAAAAAAAAAAAAAAGTGGGGAGGGGCTCTACTGTAGGGCCCATTTTGATAATTATTTTCTTGGCACTGACTTCGGCTTGCACCAAAAAGCATTCTGGGTTTATCATATTAACAAAGTGGTATCCTCAAAGCCCCAAAATGCAAATGTAGCTATTAGGGACTTCTTGGGGTACCTGTTTAAAGGCTATTATGGTATTGAATGTCTCTATAGGGGTTGTCTTTCATCCCCAGACAACCTTATGGGTTAAAGAACAGATAATCCAGCTGCCCCTAGCCTCTTGCATTCCCTCTCTAAACGGCCAACTGCTTTAGAGTCGTAGCGAACCCAAACTCGCTTCGAAAAAATGAAGGGATGATTTCAGCAGGAGAGTTGATACTGATTATTCATACTTTGCTTTAGCAGAGTACTTTTATGTGAAGACCTAGAACGATTTTTATCACCCGCACAGGGGAGAAAAAAAAAAAAAATTGGTGACTTGCCCCAATTCATAAAGCAAGGTAATTCAGAGTAAGAAACTGCCTCCGGAAGGCCTGGTTTTTATTTCCCTACTAGAGCTGCAGGCAATATTTTATTTCTTTCGTGCGTTCTGGAACATTTGCTATCTGGTGGTTCTCTTCCAAAATGAATTCAAGGTGATTCTACTTAATGTTCCATTGAAAAAGATTTTTGTTTAAAAATATAGTCTAGCATTTCCTCTATCAGTCTGTATGGAGACTCTACGATGATTATGCATGTGGACAGCACACGGTTCACGCTGCTTTCTCTAGGGCAGTGATTGTCAACCTTTCTTAATCCAGAGGCTTCCTCTGGGATCTGATGAAGGCGCTGCAGACTCTCTCAACAGTATGGACACATCCACGGACACGAAGTTTTGCACTAAAATGCAACTGTAGATATCGCTTTGGAATCTGCCCTAAGACTTGGAAGCCCAGGAGGTTCAAGAACTGTCTCCCTCAGGGAATATGAGACCTGAAATATAAGCGTATTTGAGCATACCAAATACTAATACTGATGCGAATACCAAAGTAATTAATGAATAAAAAAATCAAGATCAAGTCCTTCATTAGACTATTAGGTAATTAGCTTTCTCAACAGAAGGCAAAGCAGAAACATTCAAAGGCTAACCAACTGTTTTGCTGGAGGGAACTAGAGAACTAATTCAACCGTCTTGTTTTACAGTAGGTTGGTGTAGCGGTTTGGGAGGCCAAACCCTATTATTCTGAAATCCCTGTTGAGAACTCTTTTTCCTGCTGGAAAGCTGTCCCATGAATTTCTAGTGCCTCTGTGGCCATTAGACTTTGAATTTGCCCTTATAAGCCCCGTAATTACGTGTTTCTGATCTAAACAAGAGGCTGGTTTTTCTTCTTTATGGAGAATATTAATTGGCATTCCTTTTCCAACCATAACCTCTCTAAATAACATAATTGCCAACACATCACTTGAAGAAATACGTCATGATTCACCTATTATCTTTAAAGGATGATCAGTTATCATGGCAGTCTTCAGGTTCCTACATTTTTACCGACCCTCAACCTCCCAGGGTCTCAGTTTCTATACTTACGACGTATTCGTTTACTAATGAAGTGCTTTGCTATTCATAGACAAAGAGGGCCACTTAAGTTATCTATTTTGTATGGGGCTTTGGTTAGAGGCTAAGACACCACATACACTGTGCTGTTTTATTGTGGCCTCTCGTGGAAGCAAAAGGTTTATTGTGGAATGATTTGGGGTGTGCCAAGTATTGTAGCCAGTTAGCTCCTTGTGATTGTAGAAACCCAAAGAACGGAATTCAAAGTGCTTTTTTAAGGAAGGGGCAATGAACACTTTGTGCCTGGGAGATCGAACACTGCCTAGAAAAGGTGGGACTGAGAAGGACATAGCTGGGGAAGAAGCAGAGGCTAAGGTCAACCTCTCCAAGATGGCCACCAGGTGGGATTTTTTTTTTTTCTTCTAGAAGTGTAAGAAAGCAAGAGAATCTTGTTTTATTTTTTTTATATATATTTTTTTTAACATTTATTTATTTTTGAGGGACAGAGCACGAGCAGGGTAGGCACAGAGCGAGAGAGGGACACAGAATCCGAAGCAGGCTCCAGGCTCTGAGCGGCCAGCACAGAACCCGAAGCGGCGCTTGAACTCACAAACCGCGAGATCATGACCTGAGCCGAAGTCAGACGCTTAAGCAGCTGAGCCACCCAGGCGCCCGTTGTTTTGTTTTAAATACTTTCCTTATTTGTTGTTTCCTAGATCACAGGAGAAAAGTGTGGCAGGATTTACTACCAATTGGAGCTTGACTCCATTTTCTACGAGCAATTGTCTGCATTAACTGCAGCTGAGAGTTTCTCCTTAGGGTACACAAGTGTCTTAGCAGTTGTGATTCTAGAAAAGTGCTATGTCTGTAATCCAAATGTGAATAAGCTGACATTTCATTTTGAGACCAAATACACACACACACACATACACACACACACACACACACACACACACACACACACACACATCTTAGTTTTCTTTTTCTCCTTTTTTCGTTTTGTTTTGTTTGTTTGGTTGGTTTTTAACCAGGGGTTGCCTTCTATTTAATGGTCTAAAAGTAACTTTCTCTTACACAGGCTATTTTAAGCAAAGGGAATCTGGGAAAAGCAAGGAAGGCTGTCTGAATTTAAATGGGCATAAAATAAGAGAGGAAAGAATTAGTACTTAAGGCTAAAATAAATTGTCCTCTAAATAAAGTTATCCATCCCACTGACAAGGGTCACTTTTGGCTTTGATCGGGCCCCTTTACCAACCACACTTCTTCAGAGGTGGAAGATGCAATTTTCACATTTAAGTGATTTATTCATCATTAATGCTAATTTCTCAGGCATTTTTATTTTGTAAAATTTGGAGAAGAAAGAGAAAAGCTTTTGTAGATGAGATTCTTACTATTTTGTTCCTTATGTTACTCAACATTTGGTTACTTATAATGTATTTTGCAAATGAATTTGGAAATGGGAGGTATTCTTTAAAACATGTTTCAAAAAAAATTTCTTTACATTAACTTCTAGAATCCCAAACTTACTTTTTTAGGTGATAAATACATGCGCGGAAAGCCAAGTTCATATTGAAAGTGTAGATGCAACGTAATGACAGCAATGTTAGAACACCCTTTTCTGTGTGCATGGTTTTTTTGTTTTGTTTTGTTTTGTTTTGTTTTAGTCTCCACATGTGGAGTACAATGCCTGGAAGCCACAAACGAACATTAGCCAGAGAGAGGGTATTATTTATCACAACTGTAAAATGGCTTATTTGAGATAGTGCTACGTTTACAATTTACTTTTATCAAGTGGAAGCACCTTAGAATCAACCATCTATTCTGCATCTACATTTGTAGACAGTGGTGCCAAGCACATTATTCTCCAAAGCCATGAATCTGTCTTTGTGAACTACTCCATAAAGCAGAGATTTGAGGCACTGATCTAAGTAAAGAAGAAACACGCTCACGTACACACACGCAATCCGTAACACCCCGATATTGATGGCAGAGTTCATAGGCTGAAATTAGCCAAAATAGTTAATGAACCAATCACATTCATTTAATCATGGCCAAGACTTCATTGCCCCTCCCTTCCTGGGCTGACCTCACCCCACCAGTAGAGGATCAACAATTTGTTCTATGTGCTTCCATGCCTTCCACTAAGCAGGTATCCGGCAGGGATGTGCTCTGTTGAACTACAGCCTGTTTGGAAATTCTTTTGGGAAATCTGATGGTAGATGAGTTGGCTTATTCTGAGGACATTTCAATATGAAGCCACTAATTCTGCCACTCAGTTCTTCCCAATGCATGTGTCACATTCACTCTTCTCATACTGAATATTGGCCCGAGCTTACCAGACAGTGTGAAGATGATTATTATGAACAGCTAGATTCGCTAAATTCAATGATTGCTTAGTGTTGTGCTAGGTAATATTCAGAGCGTTTTACATATATTACCTCATTCAATCCTCACAACTCAAAAAACTTTATATTGGTTTTTTACCCCCCCCCCCCCCCCCCCCCCAGTTATATACAAGATTGCTGAATCTCAGCTGGCTTATGTTTCCTGCCTAGGGTCCCCCAGTAAGTGTGGAATGGAGATTCTCACCCATGTAACCTGGCTCCAGAGTTGGCCACCTAAAGGGGGTGCTCTGGACTTTTAATAGGATTCAGCTCTTGAGTTACAAGTCTGGTCTTTTCAGAAAGTCCCTGGTAAATGTGATGGCCAAGTTAAAGGCAAGGTACACGTTTTCAGGCGAATCTCATTGAATATCATCCTCAGTGTCTTTTGGACACAACAGGAAAATTTGCCAATATCACTGTTAAGAATGCATGGAGACATGGGGCGCCTGGGTGGCGCAGTCGGTTAAGCATCCGACTTCAGCCAGGTCACGATCTCGCGGTCCGTGAGTTCGAGCCCCGCGTCAGGCTCTGGGCTGATGGCTCGGAGCCTGGAGCCTGTTTCCGATTCTGTGTCTCCCTCTCTCTCTGCCCCTTCCCCGTTCATGCTCTGTCTCTCTCTGTCCCAAAAATAAATAAACGTTGAAAAAAAAATTTTTTTTTAAAAAAAGAATGCATGGAGACTTGTATTCTCTGGTCTTTCCAACATGGCTTTGATATGTCTCTTTCCAGAATGAAGTGTCCATGTTGAAAAATGAGGTGGCCCAGCTGAAACAGTTGTTGTTAACACATAAAGACTGTCCAATAACAGCCATGCAGAAAGAATCACAAGGATATCTAAGTAAGTCATTGACTTTTTTTTTTCTTTTCTCAGTGTCCAGTTGTTTTTTTTTTTTTCGCCACTAATTTTGCATTGGATTTTATTGAAAGAGCAAAAGTAAAGTGTAGATTGCACACCCCGGCAGAAATCATACTAGAATTCTTCAGTGGCTGCCAGACTGTTGCACCAGGGACATCCCCCTTTTCTGACCCCTGCCCATCACCATGCCCCTCCTGATAATTTCTGGCTAGACTTTCCCTGCCATTTCACATTGTAAAATTGTACCGAATTCCAATTCTGCAGCCAGTAGAAAAATCACTTGCTGGAGCCCACCTACCAGTGGGCTAGCCGCCTTCCAGAGAAATCCAGGGGCTGGGGTACAGGCATTGGGTGAATCGCATCCAGTGCCGTAAGGTATATAAGCTGCTGGGCTGAAAAGTGAGTGACCTTATCTCGGTGTTCCAATAAGTAAAGTGGACCCCTTTCTCTAGACCCCAGTTTCTGCATCTGGAATGTCAAGAAGTTAAATGCTAGTTGAGCGGGGGATGGTGGGAGGAGCAAGGATTCATGGCTGAAGGTCAATTCATTTTCAAATAATTTTTTAGATTGAGCAACACAGATTCTCCCACCACATGTGAGTATGTTTCCACATTTGATATGCGGATGGCTACTTGAAAATACAAAAATGGGGACGTTCACACACCAAGACTCCAACACGTGAAATCATTCTGCTGGTGTAGAAAGCATGGCTTTGCTTGTAGCTATAAAGTGGGAAGGCATAGCTGGTGACAACAATTTAAAATAAAGTTTTGAAATTAACGTCCAGGAGAACACGTGTGAAACTCTTCCATTTCTGGTAAACATCTAGTAATGTTTTCCCGAGTAGGCCACAGGTCCGCCCAAGAGGAGCTATATTGGTGTGTGCGTGTGTGTGCTTTTTCCTAGGTCCGGAGAGCAGTCCTCCCGCCAGCCCCATCCCAGCTTGCTCTCAGCACCAGGTCATCCAACATAATACCGTCACCACTTCCTCTGCAGTGAGCGAGGTGGTGGGAAGCTCCACCCTCAGTCAGCTCACCACTCACAGAACAGACCTGAATCCCATCCTTTAAAATCCACCACTGGGTCAGACCTTGCCTCCAAGAAGAGCTGTCGCATATCATGCGTCCTTTCCTTTAAGGGCATTTTTAGAATTAACTCAGACCTGGAAGACTCCTCAGCCCTTCAGAGACTGGCTTTCATTTTTATAGTTATTATGGAAATGTCGTCTTTTATACTTAGTCCTATAAGAAAAAAGGGAGTTATGCAATTAATTAATCTATCAGCTTGGGAAATGCTTTGGTGCTTTTCTCCAATTTTCTGGTACCAGTGAACTTGTTTATAAACTGAACTCCTTCTGTATATAGACATGGTTTCATTCTTATCGGTCCAACCCTTTGCCTGAAACATTGCATCTTGTTAAACCGCAGCTTTTAGCCAAAATGAGGCATGCCCACATGTCACGTAAAACGGATGCAAGGTAACTGGGTGGTGAGTCTGATGATGTCGTAACACATGTTGAGTTTGCGCTGTGATGTCGCCAGAATTCCAGATGAACACAGAGCCTTTTCCATATTTGTCTTCCTCTTATTATAAAAAAAAAGGATGAGATCCACTGATGTCCAAATAAAACCACCAAGCATCTCCCCACCTCTCCTCCTCCTCTTGGTCCACCTCCTTGAATTGCCCTCCAATTTTCTCCACTCTCCCTCTCCTTTTCCACCTTTTCCTGGGCCGCCTGTGTACTCTTCATTTTTACTTTCTTCTGTTTTATTTTTCCACCTTTAGCATTGCAGGTAAAGAAGAAAACAATGCCTAAAGGGAAAAAAAAACACAAGTAAATCTAAAAAAATACGAATCTAGCCATTGCTTCCCTTGCCTGTGACCCACAGCTGGAGTTCATTCATCTCTTGCTTTTTATAAAATGGTAAGCAAGAGAGGTTTAATGTGCCTGATTTAATGTTTTTAATAATCAGAACAAATAAAAGGTGGCTTAGCCATAGGTGAAACACTGTTGAATGCCAGCTGTGGAGACACCAGGGAAGGGAGCCTATAAGCTTTGATTGTGAAGGTCCAAATTATGATGTGGGCTGTAACATCACACCCTCGAATTACAACCGGCTTTATATGGCCTGTCTATAAGGCTAAAAATCCATAGACTATATAATAATTCAGAAGGGCTCTGTTCACTACACAGATTACAATGGTCAATCATCAGCTGCTAATAGACTAAGATTTATTAATTATTTTTTTCTCTTAAGCCTATGGAACTGGCTTTGCTATTCTGGTGGGTGAAAGTACACGCTCTACTGGAGGAACAAAGAGAGAAAGAAAACCTGATGTTCCCGTAGGGGTGCTTTCAGCTCCCCCCCCTCCCCCTGCCGCCCCCAGAACAGCCAAAGCCTTTTTTGGCTGCTTCAAGAATCCCGTGGATATGGCTACTCTACTCTTCTGAATAATTCTGATTTATATTTTCAACAACTTTCATCAGCTTGCCCATTATAAAAACCAGATAGTCCCGAACCACGGTTGTGCCTCCTTGAAACAAGCCATTCTACTGTGCTAATGTGTGCTAATATCACATCTCACAAGTAACGGGCTAATGTTTCTCTCTAGCAGTGTAGACAGGTGCTGGTGTTTCATCTCCATTTGAATGCTTGACGTCCTAACATGAGTGTGTGTGTGTGTGTGTGTGTGTGTGTGTGTGTGTTCATGGGATTTAAATAATAGTATTTTACAAAAGGTGTCGCTTTTATAAGAGTTCAAAAAAGGGAAAGATACATGTGTGGATGTGGGTGTGTGTATATGTGTTTATCTCTCCCTGTAGCATAAGAATCTATTTTGGAGAAAAAAGAAAATATGAGAGTCTTGAAGCATGATTTTTATAACTAGTTTCAGTTTTATCTAATAACTTACTTTTTAAATCAGTATTTATCAACCTTTTTTTTTTCATGTATGCAGTGCTTTCAAAAGAAAGTTTTGAGTGTCCAGGGAAACTCATGACTAGATATATGGTCTAAAAATCAAAACAGAAGCAAAAGCAAAACAAAAAATAAACACACACACACACACCAAAAAAAAAAAAAAAAAAAAAAAAAAAAAAAAAAAAAAAAAAAAAAAAAAAACCAAAAAAAAATTTTTAAAAATGTTAAAAAGAAAGAGAAAAAAGAAATGCAAATTAAAAGGATTTTCTATTATATTTTAGACAAACATATCTTTTTTTTAAGTATTTTAAATACTGAATTCATAGTTGTTTTGTTTTGAATCCCAGCCTTAACCGCTGAATGGTTGAACCTAACTGGCTTCCTAAGAAATATTTAAGATATATCTCTATTCTGAAATTAAATTTAATTTTTTCAAAACTCCTTTCTAGGACCGTCTATGTGTCTCTCTAAAAAAAAGAAAAGAAAAAGAAAAAAAAAAGAGCTCATTGAAATGTTTGCTTGGATTAAAAAAAATTTTTTTAGTTTTATTTTATTTCTTGCTTTAAGTGAACGATAACTTTTTTTTTCTTTACTGCATGCATAGCACTTAACAAAATGGATTTTTTAAAAATCCACTGGTAATATCAGAATGTCCAGAAAGTGGGCTGTCACTAAAATTATGGTTTACTTTACTTCTGCTCCGCCTCTTGATTGAATATTTAGTTGTTAAACTGAAAGCCTCTGTAGTGAAGAACTTGCCTGAGTTTTCTTAATTCAGCAACTTGACAGTTTGACTGATGTGCATTATATAGAGCTCAATTATGTCTGTTTTTTATGCTAAGTAGGCAAACCAACCACACACACGCGTTAGCAAACGGGCCTCAACGTATAATTAGAATAAACCGTCTTCTTGTTATGCTCGAGGCCTTTAGGTATGTTCATTAGCAGTGTGGAAATACAGTAAATGGAAGATGCCAGCTAGTTGTCAAGGCTTCTTGAAACCCTGAACAGAAAGGCTCCTTGGTCAAATCCAACACTCGGCTTATCAGGAGAAGTACTTCACCAGAAGGTCCAGCCTTCACCAGACCGTAGAATAATCAGTCTGCCTGAAAATCCCTCCTTGCCCTACATTTTTTGCCAATGTGGGAAAACATCTTTTTGCTGCCCCATTCTCCTCTCCCACTCGATCTAGATATGGGTCATGCACCCATATCTTCAAAAATCCGTTGTAGTGACCTTCAGAGCACCCATGCAGAGGAGGGAAGGGTCCTGCAACACTGCCTCTCCTCATTCACCTGCGTTTTTTGGTTTTTGGTTTTTGGTTGTTTTTTTTTATATTGGCAGCGTCTGCCTTTGAAGTCACTGCCAGCCTACCTGGACATTTCTGCGACGCTTCCCCTGCCTTACGTGATGGGACGTGGCAGCTTAGATAGGGGCACCCGGTGGCATTTCTACCAGGTGACCCTAAATTGAGGCATCCACATCTTAAGGGTTCCTTCTGAAGACATTTCCCAGAACACGATGCCAGGGCGGGTACAGGGAAACCCTGGCCATGGGCGAACATACTCATTTGAAAGCCTGTGTGGAGCTGATGTTTTCCCTTCGATACCCCCACCCATCTCTCTCCTCCCTCCGTGTCAGCGTGTGCGAGTCCCAGCGGTTAACGCGGCCTGTGAGAGACAGCAGTTTGCGTGGTATCACCGCACGAACTGTTACAATCAGGGTGACTGACTTGGAGCAAATGCTCTTTGGAGCCTATCCCGTCAAAGGAACCAAATGCAGCACATGTTCTGAACAGAGGGGCGTCAACGGTGAATGTGCAGGCGGTTTTTGTTGCCCGTTAAGTAAACTTTAGCGTCTTAGTTGAGTTTGCCGTTAAAATCTGAAACCAGCTGCGGTGAAAGACCAGCCTTTGGCTGGGGAGTTTTAAGCATCGGTAACTGCTCTCAAACTAGCCATCCAGTTAGGATAGAATGTGCTTCTTTCTGGTTAATAAAAACCATCTAAGAAAATATATATGTATGTATGCGTGTATACAGTGGAATTCAAGGACCAAAGCAAAATTTGAACAGGAATCTATTAATTTAGAATTTTATAAGATATTTATTAATAAATGTTATTTTAAAACATTCCATTTGAACAGTATTCTTCCGTAGGATCTACTTGTTTTTAAAGTGTTAGTTCATAATAAACTTCTCTACTTGTGTATATCTTCATTTTTCAGGGTTTCAAATGGCTCTTCTCCATCATTTGGTGGAAATGTTTCGCTTAGCTCTGTGCATAGAAATTTCAAGGATTTTGTTATTGCTCTGTGAGTTATTTTTTTAATCTATGTTCTGAACAGTGTTGTTTTTCACATTTCTTTCTCTCTCTCTTTTTTTATTTTTTTCTTAATGTTTAAAGTAAGCTCTTTCCTTTAGGAAGCGGAGTTCAGCTAAAGGGAATCAGTAACCACGACTGGAACAACTTTCTTGTAAAAGTGTAAAAACAACTTCATCTCTGCTTCTCTCCACCCCACCCCAATTTCCTAGAATGCCTTGCGCTATTCAGCTTCCTTCGTGCTCTTTTTGCCCTTTTGCCAAACAATGGGCCCTAGCTTTAAGCCATTCAAGTTCCATTATGCAGTATATCTGAGAAGGAAAAGGAAACAACCCATTTAAATTTGAATAAAACTGTGCCTCTGCGAGCAGTAGCAATTTAGAGTCTCTCTTCTGCTTTTAAGATAATTTATATTTTAAAATTGCACTTTAGCTTTCTCGATCCCTTTCTGTTTTTCTTGTTCTCCCTCAGACCCCCTCGGAGCCCTTAAACCTGCCTCTGCTCCCCACTTTCCAACTCCCCCACCCCCTCCCCCTAAGGCTCTGAGCTGCACCGTTTAAAATACTTTACAGAATATTTGTACCAGGTACATTTGCGTAAAGTCGGGTTCCTCACATCAGCCTAGATGAATCCTGCTACGGAAATACCAAGAAGAGCCAGTTTATATTCTTTACCCCTTTATTCATAGCATGTTGTTTTTTTTTTTTTAATGTTATCTTATGCAACAGATGTGAGGCAGCAGCTAAGCTACACTTAAGAATTTTCTATCTCATTCTCCAAACCAAAGTGTCCTGAATGAGCCAGGAGACTTACTCTTTTGTGCATCGTGG